AGGATGATATTAGCGTTTGAATCAGTGGACTCAGTAGACTGCCCTCCTCAATCAGGGTGAGCATCATAGAATCTGGTGAGAGGCTCAACAGAACAAAATAGGAAAAAGGATGAATTCCTCCCTTTTTCCTGCCTCAACTTTAGAGCTAGACATCTCTTACCTCTCTGTTCCTCAGACTGGGATTTATAACATTGGCCACCCTGGTTCTCAAGCCTTCAGACTTGGACCGAATTATACCATCATTTCATGGGTCTCCAGCTTGCATAGAGCAGATGGTAGGCCTTTTGACTTCTATAATTATGTGAGCCAAATCCTTATTATCTATCTATCCTACTGGCTCTGTTTTGTTGGAGAACCCGAAATGCATAGTTTTCTATAGTCATGTTGTACCTCTTAACTCAATCTGGTCATGATACCCCTTGAGATTCTGTTGACAACTATAAAAATGCATCACTGAATATTACATAAATTTAAATCCACATTGTTTTGGAAGTAATATCCACCTAAGATCCAGAGATGCATTCAAGGTCCTTTCCCACATCCACTTGATACAACTTAAAAACATTTCATTTACTCTTCTCAGTTAAATCATTCTTACATTTCTTCCAAAATTAATGGAATTATAAAACCTAAGTAAACAATACTGTCGCCAATATACATAATGAGTTAAAAAATTGTGTTAAAAATTGCAATTTATCCAATCTCTTTGAAAATTTTTTAAAATTGAGCAGAGCAGTAATTCATTGTAAAAAAAATAGAAAACTAAAAGAATTACTAAATTTTAAAGAGTGAAAAAAAGAAGTTATAGATTCAAAAATCATAATGACAAATTTCACTATTCAAATAATTGAACTGGATTACTGATCTAATTTCTAGACACTCTGATTCTTATTAAGGAATGTAATCTTTAAAGACAGAACAAAACTGTATTTATAATGAATTATCCTTCCATTATATCAGATGAATCTGAATGTCTCCTTTTAGAAACCACCAGACAAAAAGGACTGCAAAAAGAAGAAATAAAATATCTCATCCTTAAATAACCTATAGTTTTTGAAAGCAAAGTTTCCAACAATCTCAACTTAATGCAAAACTTTCTGTTCTGTCTTCAATATTGTTAATGTTTTGCTACTTTATAGTTCCTAAAACATTCTAAGTATGATTTAACTATGTTAAAATATATTCCTGAAATGTAATAAAATGTATTGCTTTTAATTTACTTTCTCTGTATTTTCAAACTTGCAGAGATGTGTTCCCCTCATTGTTGATAACTAAAAGGACCAAGAAGACTGTAAATAGTTATGGGTAATTTTGACACTTCCTTACAGCTGGTTGGCTGATAAAGAGTAAGAAATGGCATAAGTGTGTGAGGTATCCTAGAGATCCATATAATATGACATTTTTCTTTTTAGAATATAAATGTATTAATTGAATGCACACACAAAAAAAGCCTATGAAGTGATGTATCTTAGGCCAGTGTTAATTGTACTTTTTTTTTCTTATTATGCTAAAGGTATACTGCATAGAATTAAAGGTACCCAATATATTTTGGCCTCCAGGATAGACATAAAAATGAGTACTGCATGATATCTCTGACATGTTACAGAAATATTATCTAGTACTCTATATTTACTCTAATAGTAAATTAACTCATGTAAACAAATAAGCTCTTGAAATGGTTTCTAATACTAAAGCCACATAGGTTGCCCCAGGAAAATTATGTTCCTAGTCATAGTTACCATGATTTACCAGAGAAACAATGATCTAAAAAGTATGGGGGATGGAGAGGAAGATGAACGATGTCTGTTATAATTCTTCATTTGGCTAACAGCCCTGCATCCAAGTTTCTGAATTACTTACAAAGAACCTATTTTCTTTTCAAAACAGAATAGGATTTTGACTAATGATAACAGAGTGAGATGTGCAGAGATATAAAGATCCAGTCAAATTTTGATATATAATTCTTTTTAACATTACCTGCAAGAAAAAGGGAATCCGAATACTATTATCTCCTTCTTATACCACTTAGGTTTAGCCAGGCACTATAAATTAATGCCAAAGAGCATCATTTCTCACCCAATGTAGCCAATGTAAAAGCTATTATCTTCATGCACAACTTTCCAATATGTCCCAAGTCCTTCATCCTTCATACTGAGTCTTTCTGATATATATGTATGTTTTGCCTCTGTACTTATGCTTTTGTTCTTGCCTAAATAAGCATGTCCATTTTTCAAGGTCCAACTCATGCTCTACACTCTCTACAAAGCTTTTTTTAAAAAAAATACCTGTATTAACTGATTTCTTTTTTTTCTGCTTAGTTAATAAGCACATTAAGATGTCAATTATTTGTAAGCCACAAGATCTTTTAAAATGTTAAGAGTAAGGCACATTTTCTGAGCACGTACTATGCAACTGGAGGTGCTGTGCCATTTAATCTGCCCCACAACCTTACAAAGTTGGTACTAATGTTCTAATTTTATAGATAAGGAAATCAAGTGTCAAAGACATTAATTTTCCCAAAGAAACACAGCTAGCAAGTAATAAAAAGCCTACATTAAAATGCAATGCCATTTGGTTCCAAATCCTACAAAAAAAAGAGTATATTCAATAAAATACTCTTCTGGTCCAGTGCACCATTTATTACTGACAAGAATAGTTAATGTACCACTCAAAATGCCTACATTTTACTTACTATCTCAAAGGAAATTCTCTTTTAGGCTTTTTAATCAACAGTATTATTGATTGACTATATAAAACACTATCATGAAAATTCACTGTAAGAGTTCTAGAGAATTATTACCTTCTAAAGAGTGCATAAAAATTATGATGTCTTCACATGCATTCTATTATTGAAAATCTTTTAAAATATTTAGAATATAAAGCATAAAACAGAAATTAAGAACCCATTGTTTAATAATTTGATAGACTACCTAACATGGATACTATTGTACTTCTTGATTTTTGATCCCTCATGTTAATAAGTAATGTTTACACAGATAACCTAAATATAATATTAGAAATAGTTTTATAGTCTTATTTAAAAGAAATTCTATTTTAGTTATTTAAAAAAATGTAGAACAGCTCACAATTAGGGGTAACTATGATTTGATAATCTACAGCACTCTAAAAAAGTGATGAAACCCCAGTAATTATGATTTGGTAATCTACAGCACTCCAAAAAAGTGATGAAGCCCCAGGGGTCAAATTCCTCCAAAACTTCTGAATTACTTGAACATTTTTGTCAAACTAAATGATTCATAAAGTTATAAACAAGAAAAAATATAATGACATAGCAGTTATGACCATAATAGCTATATACCAAGGATTTAACAGCAAGTCTTTTATCATTAATGCTATGGCCATTTGTCTTAAAATACTCATAAATTATTATGTGTTTGCATGATAGTGACTATTTTTGTTTGTGAATATAATTGTAGAGGTTAATTTTATTCTATTCCTCTCTGCAAGATTTAGACCATATTGTCTTCAGAGAAAATATCAAGTCCATTTCTCATCTAAAGAAAAATTTTATGCAAACTTGAAGGATTTAAAGTCATTTCAGACTTTTTTCTTTCCTCATTGCCTTAAGGAACTTTCAAAGAACAAGGAGTTTATGAATCACTATATAAATAAAATTTCCAGAGATGATCAAACTTATTAGAATTCTATAATGTTTAATGAAAGTACCTATTCACCCACCCTAATATGACTTCTTCCAACTCCTGATCGTGCCCATACAGTTATTTTTCTTTCACTAGTATCATACTTGATGTGATACAATTTCTTTAGGTACCACACCTATAATTACCACTAAAGACACAGATCACTATGAAAAAGTTAAGCAAATAAAAAAAAATACCACATTAACTTTTATTTAACAATTAATAAAGATACTAATTTAATAACTTCTATTTCTTCTTAGATCTCAGATACAAAAGCTAATACTTGTTTGACACTATTGAAGATTAGGATAGATGTTCCCTACCTTTTCTTTTGGAAAAGTTTACTTAACACAATGAAATTATAAGCCTGAATTGAGTATAACCTTAGATTTAGATGAAAACAATTAAGTTTACAAATATTGACAATGATGAACATTGGGAACTTCTCAAGTCAGTTGATTTAAGATGTTCTTATTAAAATTGGTTTAGGTCTCATACAAAGAGACTTCTGCATTCCCTTGTTACTTTATCATAATATTCTTTATCATATCAAAATACTTTATCATAACAGCTTTCTTTGCGAATCCTTATCTCAAACCTATTTGATAGTGTGGGGGAAATACCATAGCATTTTTCATTTTATATAGAACTAAACCATGAATTCAAGGGTTAATTAATTTGTTTAACTTAAAAACAAATTAGTAGTAATTAGTGTGATTAATGCATTGAAACATATGTTATTTCCAAGTATGTCACATTTAATGGAGCAAACTTGGAGAATTCCTCCAAATACAGAAACCAATAAGCATAATTCTTTAAGATGCTTAAAAGGTTTACTGAAAGCCATGAGGAAAAACCTCTTCATGAATCAGTTTTTGTGTCTGTTTCCTAAACAAACCAGACTTGCGTCAATACTTTTATATATAAAGTCACACTGGTTTCCCTGATGAATATAAAAGACCTTAAATCTATTGTCTCATGAAGTATATTTATATGTAATGATTGGTTATGATAAATGAAAATAATAAAATGTCTATTTTCGTTATAATTATCCTTATAGCCTCATGTGCAAACTCACTAGCTTAACTGTTTGATTTAACAAAGGACCAAAACTGCAAAAGCAAGATGATTTTTTTTAAACCAAAGAAAAGGTTGTTCTTGTTTGTTTTATTTTTTTACACGGGGGTCATAAGAACAAATGTAGGCATTGTAAAGGAAATGGTGTTAGAAGCTAAGATTAACAAATATCCAAGTTCTGGATGAAAATATTTTATGGTAATACCTTCGTCCTGAAGGCAGCGATTATAATAAGGTCTAATAGTATTTAATCCTATTTACCTGTCTCTATCTGGAGAGTAACGGTCATCCATGACACGATGTCTATCCATTCGGCTAATTGTATTATAATGTCCAGCAGTAGAGCGTGTCCCTCGAAGCCCCTGTTCCACATTCCGACTGCAATAGCAAAATCCATTAAATATTTTAATAAACCATAATCATGCACTACACTAAAAAGGAGGTTTATTAATAAAGAATGTAGAAAAAGGTAAAAATCAGTGTAATGCGAAGTCCCAAGTTTTTTGTTTTAACTAATTGCATCTCGGGCTAATGGGATACATTTCAACTGGAGGCTGACAGTGAAGTTGGAGATTGCTGCTATAACAGAGATAAACATAAACATGGTATCAATGGGGGTGGAGATAAGGATTATCAAAATTATTAATGGATGACACCCAGGTTTCCAAAAGTGATTTTTATACGCAATACAGGAGAAGGAATAAATTTGTGTGGAGAAAATGAGTTTAGCATGTTGCTTATAGATAATATTGGTGTATCTTGTTTTAGGACATGATTATGATCTGTTTTTTAAAATCTAAATTGAAGTCTTTATAAATGATCAATGATGATTTATTTTAAGCTACCAATCTTGGCCTGGACTGACAACTTACACATTTCTTTTTCATGATAGAATAAGCCTCTACATAGCTTTTGCTATTGCTTTCTGTTAGGCACAGCTGAATCTATTCTAAAACTTTGCCTATTTTTTTTAGGTGTGTTCCAATATTCTTTCCCTGGTAAAAGTCGAGCATCCTTTTTTTTTAAATTTTTTTATTTAAATTCAATTAGCCAAGCTATAGTACATCATTGGTTTTTGATATAATGTTCAATGTCCTTTTTTTAAAAATAAGAAATGGCTTAATTTATTAAAGTTAAAATCCAAAATCTAGTTCTTTCTTAAATTTAAATTTCAGATTAAAAATATTATTCTATTGATAGGTCTACCATATTTGAACAATTACTTTTCAGAAGACTTTTAATAATTTTAGTCCCATTTACAAACTTAGTTAATCAATCATTTTAAATTTTTATAAACTTAATATATTTTTAATTACTTTAATTGTCTAAATTAAGTAAACACTTTCTAGTACTTACATCTTTATACACTAAATAAATTAAATTCATAAATATAACAAATCTTAAGTTCTCTTAGAAAGCCCAGTACCATGTATAAAATTAAAATCATAAGGAAAAAGTCTAAATCTAAAAATAAATCAATTATTCATTCAAAATAGGCATTATAAAACTATCATTCTAAGAGTTCAAATTTTCTTAAACTTTGCAAGTATATAAAATGTGAATTCTATCAATATTTCTTGTTAGTAAATATATTATTTCCATGGCTCTTACTCCTGTAAGCTTTCTGTACTTAACTGGATTGATGAGAGTTTTCTACGAGGCATAAGACTTAGAGCTGTAGATTTTCTGAGTCACTCTTCCCTCTGCCTGTCCTTTTTTTTTTTATTCTTTGCATGATTTCTCCTAACTTTAAAACCCCATCAGATGTTTATTTTCTCCTATTTCTTAAATTATCAATACCTATACCATTCAAGAGTATAGTTCGTTGGCTCTAACTAGATACGCTCAGTTCAGCATATCTGAAAGCTGGGTCTTCTTTATGATTTTGAACTCTCACATAAAAGAAACATACATCAACCGAAGTTACAAAGTAGTCCATATTTCATATTACTCTCAATATTTAGGTTGTGGAAGAACATATCTGTTTTTTCTTAAGTCACTTTCCCCCACAAGAATTTATTACCTTTAGAAATTATTGAATTCTTTGTGATAAATAGGCTTTTAATAGCATCCTACAAATAAAACGTGTATGGTATCCTACCTTTGTGGAGGAGGGACACTGGGTGACCATGATCTAGTCCTTCCTATAACATCTACTCGGTGAGGAGATCCTGATGGTGAACAATGGTTTGATGACATTACTTGTTCTGGCACTGATAAGGTTGAGCTTTGAAGATCTCGACCATCGTGTCGATAATCTAGAGAGGTGCAAAGATGAAGAGTGCAGTCATCTACTCACTAAGTCCTTTGGCATTTTGTACTTCAGTGAAAAAACTAAATGTTAGTGAAATTGAAAGCCTCTGAACATTTTAAATGTAAAGCATAATGAGTAAAACATGATACCATCATAAAATAATATTTTGTGAACACTTAAATTAAAAATGAATGACAAATATTTAGATAGCTACTATGTCCAAGGCACTGTGCTAGTTAGGCTAAAACTTTTTTTTTTTTTAAGATTTTTATTTATTTATTTGACAGAGAGAGAGACAGCGAGAGAGGGAACACAAGTAGGGGGAGTGGGAGAGGGAGAAGCAGGCTTCCCGCTGAGCAGGGAGCCCGACGCAGGGCTCGATCCCAGGACCCTGGGATCATGACCTGAGCCGAAGGCAGACACTTAATGACTGAGCCACCCAGGCGCCCCTAAGCTAAAACTTTTATATACAGTTAGTTATCCTCACTAAAAGAGGCAAGTTTACTCTAAAAACATTTTCATCTCTTCAATAAACTAGAAGAGCTTTAATCACTTTGCAACAATTATAAATATTCAGAATTATGAACTTCACAAAAATTCCTAAAAGTCTATGGTTATTTTTTTTTTTTAAGATTTTATTTATTTGACAGAGAGAGAGCACAGCAGGGGGAGCAGCAGGAAGAGGGAGAAGCAGCCTCCCCATTGAGCAGGGAGCCCGATGAGGGACTCGATCCCAGGACCCTGAGATCATGACCTGAGCCAAAGGCAGATGCTTAACCAACTGAGCCACCCAGGCGCCCTATGGTTATTTCTTTAAGAGATAAACATATTAGAAAGTATTTGGAATACCATCTGAAGTACCTATGTAAACTGTTTTTCTTATAGTGATTGACAGGGCTGAGATACAAGAGATGCCTGAGAATAAAAACACGACAGTTTGGAGGAAGAAAACAGCTCAATGATTTGACATACTTAGAAAAAGTGTATTAGAAGTGATAGAACTCAAACGAATCTTAGGAAGCAATAGATATTTGACTGATGGAGAGAAAAGTAGAAGGAATTCAAAGTTGCTAGAAAAACCGCAGTTCAATGGGGGGCAGCGGTAGGGAACTAAACAGTAAGTTTGACCCACGTTGTGTATATCTAAAACATCATGAGGCTTGTAATGGAAAAAACCTGAACATTTCTGGGCAGGAACTGGTGTTTGCCCCACCACCATTATCTTCAGCATGTTCATCATGGCTGCTATTGACTTTTACTATGTGCCAGGACCTCTGCTAGTACTGTACAAAGTGTTCTGCTACAACATTTGTCTCAGAAATAACTCAGAAGTATTGGTTCATGTGTGATTTTTCCCAGCATGTTCACATTTTGCAGTATTATCTGAAGTTAGGTTCCCAAGGAATGCAGCAGGAGAAAGATTTGAGTGCACAGAAACGACTGAAGGAGAGGTCTCAAGAGAAAGGAATTAGAACAGGGCACGCGAAGAAACTAAGTAAGAATGTGATGTCAGCTTGATTCCACTGGCCTGTGAATTGTACCAGAGCTGCTCTGATTTTGAAGTAAGGGTCCAATGTCAGCCAGTCATGACTGAAGACTGCCAGTGGGAAGGGGGTGAGATTGTTTTCTGTTTGTCTAAGGCCAATTCTCCGGAACATGGGGCAGCTGTGAGTTGTTAGCAGCCAACATTCACTGGCGATGTGTAAACCAGCTGAACTAAAGAGGCTGGGGGAGCGTCAACAGTGTCCACTCTATCTACCAATAAAAGCAACTGAAAGCAAAGAACATTAACACAGTTGGATGCAGAAAGCTAGAGAAATACAGAACTAAATATGATGCTCATTCATCCCATGTTCTTCCTTTTGGCTCACTTTGGCCAAAAAAAACTCCATCTTAGAAGTATTTCTTGCATGGGTTCTTCCTGGCTGTGTGAATATTTCCCTTGACACCATAACTGTGTAGACTTGTCCTCCTTTCCATCTAGACATACTCCTTCCATCTAGATACCTTCATTTTATTTTTAAATCCCACATTTACTACTTTTATTGCTTAAAAGTTAACATGACTTTTAAAAATTGTGCTTGTACTTTTATTTTTAGTGTTTTGATTACAAAGCTACATGAGTTTTGAATGGTCTGATCCAACTGGTATTCCCAGATGCCCTGTTGTTTTTAGTCCATGATTTTGCAGAGCACAAGGTTTTTTCAGGAATCTATAAACGATGTGAAAGAACCAACTCTGCAAAGAAGATAATGTTATCCCCATTTTGGAGCACCTGGGTGGCTCAGTCGGTTAAGCATCTGCCTTCAGCTCAGATCATGATCCCAGGGTCCTGGGATAGAGTCGTGCATCAGGCTCCCTGCTCAGCGGGGAGGCTGCTTCTCCCTCTGCCTGCCGTTCCCCCAGCTTGTCCTCTCTCTCTCTGACAAATAAATAACTAAAATCTTTAAAAAAATATTAGCCCCATTTTATATTTAAGGAAACTGAAATTTACATTAAGAAATTTGCTAAGAAATTTTAATTGTCAAATACAAGATCCGGGATTTAAAGCAAATTCTATCTCACTCTCAATGCTCTCACTGTGCTCTAAGACTACATCTTTCATGATCAAAGTAATAATTTAGGAAGATGAAGCTGACAGCAGTATACAATTCAACCTAAAGGTTAGAGAGGTTGCAGCAAGATTAATTGCTCTTATAAAACATAGAACAGATTGTCCAACAGAACTCTCTAAAATGATAAAAATGTTCTCTATCAGCACTGTCCAATATGGTAGCCACTAGACACACATGACTATTGAGCACTTGAAATCTTGCTAGTGTTAATGAGAAACTGAATTTTTAACGTATTTATTTTAAATCAATTTAAATATAAATAGCCACATATAGCTAGCGGTACAACTTTGGAGTATGACAACTGGTAGTAGCAACAGACTACACAATCTTTCATTCAACAAGTATTTATGACTGTATGAGCATGTTATTCTATGAGCTACAGTGAGCAAAACAAACAAAAAGCTTCGCCCTTATGGAGTTATCTTCTTTAAACAGGATCTCTTCAGTTGCCATGCTGAGAACAGACTGAAAGGAGAAAGGCAGTAAGTCAGGCAAGAGATGAACCAGGACGACAGCAATGGAGACATGGAAAATAATCAGATTCTGGACATATTTTGAAGGTAGAGGCACTGGGACAATTTTGTCTAAGATTTGATGTTGGACATAGGAGGAAGAGTAGGAGAAGAACAAATGTAAAATTTTAATTCAAGTAAAAGAATGGAGTTACCATCAGTAACTTGGTTTGGTGGGAAAGATCAGGAGTTCAGTTTTAGACATGTTAAGCTGAAGATAACGGCTACATTTCCAAGCACAGATGTCAAGTGGTCAGTAGAAAATAAAAATTTAGAATACAAATAAGTGGTTTTGACTGGACATGTGGGAAGTTTAGCATATGAAGGCATGGGACTTTAAAGAGATGCAATCACTAGAGTAGTGAATGTAGACAGCAAAAAAGTCCAACAATGGAGTCTGGGGACCTTCTAGTATGAACCAACAATTTGTGATCAGATACAAAAGCAAAAAAAGGGAAGAAATAAATGACTCTTAACATTTGATTAGCCCACCAGGAAGTTAAAAGTATACTACAAAGAGGTGCCTGGGTGGCTCAGTTGGTTAAGCATCTGCCTTCGGCTCAGGTCATGATCCCAGGGTCCTGGGATCGAGCCCCACATTGGGCTCCCTGCTGAGTGGGAAGCCTGCTTCTCCCTCTCCTTCTGCCCCTCCCCCTGCTTGTGCTCTCTCTCTCTCTCTCTCTCTCTCTGTGTGTGTGTGTGTGTGTGTCAAGTGTCAAATGTTAGATCTTTGGGGGGAAAAAAGTATACTACAAAGAGAGAAGTTTAGGAGGTTTACCAGTTTGGAGACGAGGAGGTAACAGTATTTTCAGTCTCATAGGCAAACAGTTACACATGTGGAAAAGAATCTTGGGAAAGGCATTAGGACTGTCAATAAAGTTTTGAGAGGCATTTATAAAAGGAGCATCATTGAAATCCAAGGTAAGGGAATATATAGAGAGAAAAGAGATATGACTATGGAGTTTAAAGGAGACTATTGAGAAAAGGAGGAAGAGTTACTACAAGAAGAAAATTCAAATAATGCAGTCTCATGAAAACTGAAAAGAAAGAGTTTTAAGAAAATATTCATTATTAATAATATAAAGAGCTACTCCAAAGTGATAAAATATGAGTATTGAATTTAGGTAATTAACTTAGGAAATCAGAATATTATATGTGACATTTAAGAGTTAATTATTAAAACGTCACTCTACCTTCCCAATGGAAAATAAATTATTTACATGTATTTGTATATTGTTTCAGGTCAGAGTAGAAAATAACACTAACATTCTAAGTGGCTATAATCTCATATTTTATATATATATTCCATTTATTAGCATTGTGGGGTGAGTCAACTGGTTCAAAGAATAGTTGGTCTAGAGGGGAGGAGGGAGGGGGGATAGGTTAGCCTGGTGATGGGTATTAAAGAGGGCACATATTGAATGGAGCACTGGGTGTTATAAGCAAACAATGAATCATGGAACACTACATCAAAAACTAATGATGCAATGTATGGTGATTAACACAATAAAAAAAAAAAAAAGAATAGTTGGTGTACAACACCATTCTTTCCCTACTCAGTATACCCCTGGGGCACAAAACTCATGCCAGCAGTCGCTTCCCTGAGAACCCTAAATTTCAATATCAATCAAAGTTTCTATTTCCTTGGAAGAATAACATTAGCAATGCAAATATAAAAAAGTACCTCTGACTTGAATTATCAGAATAAATGAAGTAAGTAAGCACATGGGAAATACTCCCTCTGGCATAGTTAATTTTCAAGACATCTGCCTTGTAAACTTGGAAAAATGAAATAAAGCAGCTGAAACTGCTCATTATTGAGAGAAGGCTGATAGTTCAGGTTAAAAGGGTTTTGAACGGTTGTAACAGATACTTTGAATTTGACAGATATGTAATGTGCAATTGGAAACGAATCTCGGCATATGGGGAAGAAAGTACTAACAGATTTGCTGGTGTCTAGACTTAGGTTAGTTGTTTAAAATGCTAGTTAACATGGGGGGTAAGAAGGTACTGTGTATATGAATATATGCAATTCACATTCGAAATGCCTTAGGAGCAATTTCACAGAGAATATAGGATTATTTGGTTCAGTGGACAGTCAAATTACTTGACAAACTATTGATTGAAGCATTTAGTCTCTATTGAAACTACTGTTAATGATGGAGCTTAAAACAAAAAGGACATTAAAAAAAAGAAAACATAGAAAAGTATTTTTTAATAGAATTAACGTTTAAGTCTTAGTTATCATGATAGTTATGTAAATGTAATTTATTAAAGTTATGAGCCTATGAAAAGATAACATTTCAAAAACCACAATACCATAATCCTGATTTTCAGGTTGATAAAAAGAATATGAAAAAAAAAGAATATGGTGATGCTTCAGCTTTCTAATAGTAACAGATTTCGAGGATTTGAAATCATCTTCATATTTTTTAAATCATCAGATAAATTTCCAACCATAAATCAGGCAAAATTTAAACTACAATACCATAATTTGAAAATAAAGCTGTGCCTGATATATAATCATGACAATGAAAAAAATTTCAAAAAGTGCAAATATTTGACATATTTGGGTATGTTGGTGACGTCAAAAAGATTTTATTTTTTTTCACACTGTTATGCAGTATAAAGAAGTTTCAACTATACAATAACTTCAAATTTATGGTGAAGTCCTTATTATTTAGTAGTTTAAAAATAGAAAACTTAGAAGTATTCACTTATCTGACATATTTCAGTAGAATATTCAGTTTAATAATTGATACAAGAGTTCCAGCAACTGGAATTATTCAAGAGGTTAAACTGCCATAAGGTTGTTTTTTTTGGGGGGGGGTGGATAAAGAGGCAAGTTATTTCTTTCTCATTTTATTTATTATTTAATCTGTTTATTGGTAGATAATGATGAATAACCCTTCCTTATTACTATAAAATAATTCTGAAATTCTTACCTGATACTATACCAATTCCATCATCACAGTCATAGTCAGAGACTTCACTATCACTTATTCTTTTTGACCCTATGAAGCAAACAATAGCAATAATTAAAATTGCTGATTAATAAGGAAAAAGAAAACTCCTCATCAACCTGAAAAACAAACGAAAGAAATCTGAATGAAATACTTGAGAATAAAAAATAGAGAGAGAAGGAAAGTCATTATAAGCTCATGCTTATTTTTACACATATTTCATAATGTGAAGATATTATTCTTAAAATAAATTATTCTTAAAATGGATAAAATAAATTTCCTAAATGCCTTAAAGCTTGAAATAATATTAAATAATATATGTATGTGATTTGATGCTGATTGATAAAATCTATTGAACAAAAAGCTAAGTTAAAAATAGCTATGTTAAGTCAGTTTCAGATGCTTTTAGACAAAGGTATTTAAGTCTATATAAATTTCAAAGCAAGACAATATGTTATTTCAAGAGCATTCATGTGCCTTTTTCTAATATGCATGACTAATAAATTAAATGTACCCAATTCTTCATTTTTCACACTCATGGAGAAGTATAATTTAAGAGATCTTAAACCATCTACTTTTTAGTATTAGTTTAGCTGTTCCTCCATTGCTTTGAAAAGAAAATGAGAAATCATCCACAAACTTATTAATACATCTAAATTGTGTATTGATTACACACAATTGTTATATTTTCTAAGAAATTAGCCTAAATTTAACAGAGCAGTAATAATTAACATAATTAAAGACCTCTATAACAAAATTTTAAAATGTTTATCATGCTATGGCAAAAATAGCACTGAATTGATGGTTACAGCAGATTGTCTTCACATTTAATTATGAAATATATTACATATATAAATAAACATGTTATAATTTGTTTTTTAATATATTTTTTCTCCTACGTGTGTCTCAAAAATAGGCACATCTTATACAATAGAATCCCTTATTACAGTATTTTTTCCTTCCTTACAATCAGAAAATGCTTAATGATCAATGAAAACAGTGTTGCTATTTCAAGAAATGACTTCTTTTGTCTGTCTACTTACACCATACATTATTCATTAAATAGACCAAATTCAATTATCAGAAAATAAATGCTTTCCTGTAACGTATATAAAATACTGAGAGTTCACGTTTTACAAGGTGTCTAAAGTAGCAATAATTAAATGTTCTAGAAATGCCTTCCAATATTTCCAACTTCCTCTGAGAAATACTCTATACATTTTTTTCTCTTTTTGTTTGTATTTACCCCTGCCCTCTTGGGAAGGGGAAGAGTCTGTTGCCAGGAACTCTTGTTTTCCTCCTTTTAATGGTTACATAAAAGACACTGATCTGTTTTGATCATGTGGTCCCACTGAATGGGTTCACTGCTATTTTTCTTCCAAAGCCTTTAAAAAATTTAAACTCAATCAAATCATAGACTCTTACAGCCCCAACTGATATGGAAACTACAATTACCACACAATATCCCAAAAGACTGAGCACAAAATGATTTACAGAATTAGTGTATACATTCAAAATGGATTTGGGGAAAAAAAGGATACCACAGATAGAAGCTGTTGAAGAGAGACATAATAAGAATTGCTACTCATCTTGTAACATGATTTCACTTTGTAAATGCAAATGCTCAAGGACAGGGTAATGATAGTTTAATGTGCCACATATACTAGGGCCTAAAGATTATATGCTTTTGGTATTGGTCAAGAATCAGATCTGCCTCTGGTGTAAAATAAGAATGACAACAGCAAAAAATGAAGTTCATTTTATCGGCCTTTGTGAGTGGTCTTGTGTGGGTTTGTGCATAGAGTTGGGGGTGGATGGGTATATGTGATCTGTAAATGCTGCTTCCTTCCAAATCTTATTATGTTCCTGATAGAAGTCAATCTATTTTGCTAGTAATTCTACAGAGATTTAATATATTGCAATTATGTTATCTCTACTTGGAACTTGTCATTTAACATCCTGATGAATTCAAGTACTTAATTTAATGTCATTGAATGCATCAATCTTCTCTTTTAAAAGTAGTGTTTTCGGTGTCTTGTTTAAGAAATTGTTCCTAAGCTTATGAATGGACAGATATTCTCATATTTTTTTCTGAAATTTAAAAAAAAATTTGTTTTTAGCATTTACATCCTTTTCTATCTTGAAGTGAGTTTATGTACGGTTTGAGATATGGATGCAACTTCGCTTTTTCCATATGTATAACACATATTTTGGCATTATTTAATATTTCCACTTCCCCCAATGATCTGTGATGTCACCTCAGTCATAAATAAATGTATCCTATCTGCTAGGATCTATTTCTTTTTCCTTGTACTGGCCATTTATCCATAAACCAATAACTCACTGTCTTTGTTATTATATTGTTAAATATCAAAAAGCAAATTCCCTCATATCTCAAATCTTTCCTCTTTGCTCTTCCTTTAGATTCAGGTTATTAAATTGCACAAAACATCCTACTGGAATTTTGATATGAACTGTAATGAATCAATACATCAATTTAGGGAGCGTTGGCATGTAGTACAGCATTGTTTTACCAGCCAAGAGCTAGGCATTCTCCATTTAAATTTCTGTGAAATTTAACTTCGCTCATTAAAATTTCCCACATTTGTTGGATTTATCCTTTGTATCTTATCATTTCCACTGCTATAAGAAATACTGTTAAAATTCTGATTACTAATCTAATTGCTCATATATGGAAATACTTTATTGTAAAATAATGTTAACCAACCACCTTGTTAAAGGCTCTCTCTTTTTACTTCTAATAAATTTTATATGGTTCAATTTGGATTTTTCTCCATAGACAATGTTTCTAATCCTAAAGTCTTTCTTCTTTCTTTTTCTTGTCTTTCTATGCTGATAATCACAATGTTGGAAAGAAGCAGTTAAATTTTACATTCCTTTTTAAATTCTGATTTTAAATAGAAATTTTCTAGTATTTTACCATTAAAAATGATATCTGCTGATGTTACATTTTATCAGATTGAGGAAGGTCTCTTAAATTCAGTGATATTTCATTAAGGATTTTTACATTTTTTTTTTTACAAGTGATTCTGACGTGTTAAAAATTTCCTTTCTTTCACTAACCTTTTGATGTAGGATCAAGGCTATACTGGCATAATAAAAACTTGAGAATTAGTCTTTTTATTCTCTGGTTAAATTTGTGTAGGACTGTAAAAAAAAAATCTGTTGTTTGAAATTTTGATGGAACTCATCTATAAAACTACCACGATCTGGTGTTTCCTTCATGGAAATATTTTAAATTACTAATTTCTATTTTCAGTAGACATTGAATGACCTATTGACTCAAGGTTTAGTAAGTTATATTTTTCACAGGAATTTGTTCACTTTGTTCGTTTTCAGTGTTTGCTACAATGTTCATAATTTTATCGTATTATGTATTTATTTTCTGATGTGTCTTTTATGTGTCCATTTGAATCCTGTACCTTCTTTTTATCCTGTCAGTAAATTTCACCACAAGATTTATTTTGCCATTCATTTCAAATGGTTAACTTTTAGGCTCCATAATCTTATCCACTAGAAATTTGTTTCTTACTTTATTAATTTCTACTCTTACAGTTATGATTTCTTTCTTTCTACTTTAAATTTATTTATTTTTCCTAAACTCTTAAATTAGATGAATATGTCAAAATTTTCAGCCTTCTAATCTTTACTAACATAAGCATTCCCCCTCTGAGTACTTTCCTGCATTACTCAAATATTTATAGGCATTGTATTATTTAAAGTTCAGGTCTAGGTATTTTCTTCTTGGGTCTATAAGATATTTACTATACATCATTAAATCTAAGACACCATTGTCTGAATAATACATGATAATTGCAGAGAGAATAAATATTGGAAGGAAATGTTCATTAGAGTAAAAATGTCTATTTTTAAAAATTTTGAAATATATGGGTATGATTTATCAATTTTTTTTAAAAATTGACATAGTAACACTGGTGTTGAAGGAAACAGCCTATATTTGTCAAGTCTTCAAGTCTTTGAACTTTGTCAGAAAATGAATTATTAAATAATATATTAATAATCCTTACAAATGTTTCATGGATATAACAGGAATATAAATTCATTAACTATTAGATGCAGAGTTCTTTTTTTGACCATGAGATTAAACTCATTAATTGTATGGTTTGATTCTTTTGTATCTCTCCTAAATTTTTGTTTGCTTGATCTATCAATGATTGAGAGAAAATTATAATGGAATTTTCTTCAACAGTGGTTAATTTGCTAATTTTTCTTTCTAGCTTACTATTTCTAGCTTACTCTAGTTATTGGTTTATGGAGTTATTTCATTTATACATGCAATTTTAAAATTATTTCAATAGATGTAGAAGAATCATTTGAAAATGCTTACCCCTATTCATGATAAAATACCTCAGTTAACTAGTCTGAAGAAAATTTCCTCAAATCAATAAAGGGCATCTACAAAAAACCTAGAGCTCACATCAGACTGACTTATGAAATATAGAATGTAGTCCCCCTAAAACAAAGAATAAGCTAAGGATGCCCACTCCAACCCTTTCTGTTCAACACTGCACTTGCATTACAGTAAAATACAGCAAGGAAAATAAATGAATGGCATATAGATTGGAAAGTAAGTAGTAACATGATCATGTAAATGAAAACTCCTAAGGAAGCTATAAAAAACTTATTAAGACTAATAATTTAGCAAGATTGCAGAATACATACATAGTCAACATACAAAAATGAACTATATTTTTTAAAGAATAGCAATGAACAACTAGAAATAAATTTCAAAGCCTCTATCACTTACAAGAACACATGAAAAATCTAGGAATACATTGTAACAAAAAATGTGCGAAACATGTACACCTCCAAACCACAAAACACTGCTGTATTAGTTTCCTAGGGCTGCTGTAAGAAAGGACCAACCACAGGCTGACTTAAAACAACGGAAATTTATTGTCTCACAGTTCTGGAGAGTAGAAGTCCAAAATCAGGGTGTCAGCTGTACCAGGCTCTCTCTGATGGCTCCAGGAAAGAATCCTTCCTTGTCTCTTCTAGCTTCTGGTGTT